CTCTCTCTCTCTCTCTCCTCCTCCCTTCCCTTCCCTTCCCTTCCCTCCCTCCCTCCCTCCCTCCCTCCCTTCCTTCCTTCCTTCCTTCCTTCCTTCCTCGGAGAAGATGGCCTGCCCCCTTTTTATCCTTTCCCTCTCCTGAGCAGCCAACTCCTCAGAATTTCTTTAGGAGTCCTCTCAGCCCACCAGCTCAGCCAAAGATTGCAATCTGTATCCATCCGTACTGGCTCCAAATATCAAGAGAGGCGCGTTCGGCTGCTGGTGGTGATGGTGGCGGCGGAAGCTGCATAATTTTTCGCCAAGCCTTCCCAGCCATCTGTCCGGCTGACCACAATGACAGAGTCTCCCAATTGGGTCACAACCCTTAGTCTGAATCCAGCAGGACGAGTCCTAGGCTTTTACTGCACTTTTCCTTTTCTGTCTTTTGACTGTAGCCGCAGCTGGCCAGCTCACTTCCCAATGTTCTCAGCAGCCCTTAGGAATTGCCCAGTTTGAATGAGAAAACCAGAGCTCTGGATTTTCTTGATCTCTTTGGGAGCTCCCCTGTGTGAACGAATTAGTGTGGGATGACTTCACATCACCTCTAGACGAACTGGGGAAAGTGGCGTTCCTCCATCACCAAACTGGGTCCTGCTGAAGCAACTTAAAGGCAGATTCTACCACAGGATGTCATCTCATGGTCCATCCCCATCTGTCTGGTTAGTTCCAAGGGGTTCAAGCTCCATTTGAGAATGTTTACATTAAGGAAAATTCCTCTTTCTGTAGACATAGGGATTAATGGTCAGCTGGCTGAGAGAATAGCTTTGGTATGTAGCTTGGTTTATTCAGACCCCTAGAGAAATGGGGCACAGACCAGATGGATCTGAAAAAGATCCACTGGCCCATGTCCTGCCTGCTCCAGCTCTCCAAAGATGTAGACACACTTTGCTGCAGCGTTAAAAGCTCTCACGATCTTCTCTGGTTGCTAAATGGTTTAGTTCAGTGTAGCCAAGGTAATAAAGCAAGACTAGGAGAAAAAAAGGATTCCCACTTCTCCAGCTGTGCTGTGCTCACCCTCTTCCTCCTTAGAAACTTAGAGGTGATGGATCAACAGCCTAAGAGGATACCTTGTCCAAGATATTCAGCTACCATTCACTACCTAAGCATACCACGTATATATGGAATATGCATATTTTTCTTTCCTTTTTTTATTTGTTAGTGCTCGTTATTGTTTATCTGTTGGCTTTTTTTCTTTTTTGTGTACTCTTTAAAAATTATAATAATATTTTTTTTAAAAAGATGTTTGGCTATCATTGTTTTACCTGAGTCACCTGACTTGTAGAAGAACTCCAAAGTCTCCTGCATAATAAACTGTCTCTAATCCATTTATTGGTGCTGGAGAGGACTCCCGAGAATACCGTGGACAGCTAAGAAAACAAACCGATGGATCATTGAACACATCAAACTAGAGTTCTCCCTTGAGGCACAGATAACCAGGCTGAAATTATCCTACTTCAGACATGTTATGTGAAGGCCCAGCTGTGGAGAAGGCTGTGATGCTGGAAAAGGTGGAAGGAAGGAGAAGAAAAGGATGACCAGCAGCCAGGGGGACCAGTTACAGTGGCGATGGGGGTGCCGTTGGAAGGCCTGAAAGACCAGGTTAGCGATGGTCCCTTTAATCAAGTTGGAGGAAGGGATCCTTCCCTGTGATATTCAAAAGGAGGAAAAGGAGGTTTAGATCCACCTCAATCCAGCGTTCTGCTTCTGAGCTGCTGCCGCGGCCTCCACCTCCACTGATCTTTGTAGATTCTTGAACCAGGATGTCAGGGTAACATCAACGGAAGAAGTTCACGGAACAGCTGTGCAAAAACTGAGTGATGACACATCCGAGCCTCTCTGTAACACAGGAGAAAACTGCCCCCCCCCTTCTCCGAGAAGGTCATCTGTTTAATGAGTAAAGAAGATCTGGGCTGGGTTCATATGGTTAATTGGAAACTTTAGCCTTGTGAAAAAAGAGATATGGTACTTAATGGTATCGCAGCTCATTGTCCACAATTATTTTCAATTGCCAGACACCATTTTCCAAGGAGTGATGAAGTCTCCCTCTTTCAGTCCCATGGAAGGGCAATCCCTGAACCAGCCAGGCTTTTCATGGGGAAAAACCAGGCTCAGGGTGACATATTTTATATTTCATTATTTTTGTCTTCAAAAAGACTCCAGGAACCTAAGATCAGCATGGTTTTTTTGTCTCTAACATGTAAGAATTGTAAAATGTGGGATGGAGGTGGGTGCTCATTCTTTACCCATCATTCAGAGATGACCCTAACTGAGTGCTCGGGGAGCTAGAATGACTCATAGAAATCGCAAAGTTGCCACAGACTGGTTTAATTCCCACAGGAAGTGACATGACAGTTTTGTTCTCACCTGGTTGTTTAATTTCTCTTCACATTCATGATTAACATTGCACTGAAGATCCCTCCAGATTCAACCTAGTCTGGGACCCAGATCAGCTGACCCCACACGTCCTCCCCATGGCAGTCTTGCACGGTCAGTTCAACCTGCAATGTTGCACCCCCATCTCAGCAAAGATTCCAGGGCTGTTTTTGAAGAGGGTGGAAGGGAAATGAAGACCCTCTGAACTGACTTTGACAATTTCCAAATACTGATCATATGCAGTATTTGGAAATTGGACAAAGGGTTTCCTGCCATTTGGTCCCGCAATACTTATTCATCCTGACTCCAGAGACCAATCCTCCATCATTAAAGCCCAAATCCTGTGAACAGTTGGAGATAGGAGTGGAGGCGGGGTCGGTCCACAAAGAGATTCCTAGTCATCGCTTGCCCCAACCAGTATATTTACGTGTCTGCACAGTGATGGAGTGCCTCCTCTTTTCCAGGTGTCGGAGAGGGCATGCAAAGGGCATTTTTCCCATCTGTTTTTGGTTCTCATTGGCTTGATTTTAAGTTTCCTTATTGGCTGTTCTGGTTAATTGTTGGTTCTTTCCTCTTCCAGATGGCTGTTTCCTCTATTTTCTTTTTGTTTATGATAATGTCCTTTGAGCTATGGAAAGATGGCCCGTAAATGCTTCCATAATAATTTCAGTATATAATTAATTTAAGCCAATTTGGAATCTAAATTAATTGCAAGCAGGGCTGGGAAGGCCTATTAGATCATCAGAGTTGCAGCAAATTCATATCCAACTGGTTGTAGATTTTAGTTCTTGCACATCAAATCAACACCGCTGCTTCCCACACTAACATCACCAGTGGTAAAAAAAAGGGACCAAGCACTGTGGAAAGAGGAGGCCTCTCCACTGTGACACTGCTTCCAGGGCCTCCACCTCCACTCTAGTTCCGCCCACTGTTTTCACCACTGAAGGCCTTATTCTGCCCACTGACTAGCAGGGCCTTTTAAAAAAAAACGGTGCCCAAGTAGAAAAGAAAGATTTGACTGGCCTCTCACACTTGCATGCATATACAGACAGACAGACAGACAGACATGCTTTGTAACTTCTCTTGTTCTGGCCTCTCTGTCCTGTTCTACAAACTCTGTAGAGTTAGATCCAACTGAGCCGACTGCAGAAAATGCCGTTCAGTATCCTGGCTCTGCAGAGAAGGGCAACCTGTAAACATGTTCCCAGAATCAACAGGTACAGGAAACCAGTAGGAAAGGGTTCATCAGCACCACCCGCTAAGCCATCTAATTTGGAGGACCAGCTTGCTTTCCCAAACCAGTTAAGGTGCCTGTCAGTGTAGACCTTCTGCTACAGGGCAAGAAACTTCAGAAGCGGTGCAGGGAGACCTTCCTCAGAGCTGCTGTCCAGAGTCAAAACCGGCGTGGAAGGCAAACAAGCCGAACCCCCCACCCCACCCCCGGGACCAGCAATCAGCAGCAAAGCCGAAGACACCCTTACCGTAGGCTTCAGCTGCCATAGCGCAGCAAGGACTTGACGTGGCCAGTTGCTCCCGTGCTAAGAGGGCGCAGCTCTGCTGCCCGCGTGAGCTGCGTCTCTGCTCCCTTGTCACGAACGGGCAGCCCCAGCAGGTGCCAGCGTTTCCACCTGGCGAAGAAAAAGACACAGCCAAAGCTCCTCTGCCAGATCTCCTGTTTCAGCAACGGCCACCAAGGGCAGAACCCGAATAGCCCTTCTCTCTTTTGACCCAAGGCACGTCCAGCTGGGGCAACGGCTCCCCTGCGCAGACCACCCAAAGCCACTTGCTGCGGGAGGAGAAGGGAAAACCCAGGACGAGGATCTGCTCTCCCCCAAGCGAGCAGCCGCTTCAGCCAGCGAGGATTAGAGGACAAATCCCATCTTCTTAGCAGGGCAAGGACAGCCACCATTTAGCCCAAAGACCCGGCACTGCTATTCAGCCGGCG